GTGTACTTGGAGTCAACAGTTCTGCCCCTTACAGCGATAATCAGAGATGATGCCCAGAGTTAGAGAAACTTCCACCTGCCATTTTTGTTTGTTTGTTTTTGTTTTCCAAGACGGTTTGGTTTCTCTGTATACTTTGGAACCTGTCCTGGAACTTGCTCTGTAGACCAGACTGGCCTTGAACTCACAGAGATCTGTCTGCCTCTTCCTCCTGAGTGGTGGGATTAAAGGCATGCATCACCACCACCCAGTCTTTTAAGTTTTATGTATTTCTTTTGTCTACAGTGTTCTTCCTGCATGTATGTCTGCAGGTCAGAAGAGGTCACCCGATCTCATTACAGATGGTTGTAAGCTACCATGTGGTTGCTGGGAATTGAACTCAGGACCTCTGCAAGAGCAGCCAGTGCTCTTAACCTCAGAGCCATCGCTCCAGCCCCAGCTGTCATTTCTAAGCCCATCCTTTCCCCATTCCCATTTTATAAAATACAAAAGCCAAGATCCAGCCAGGCCAGGTCTCAGGATTTTCAGAGCCTTGTGCTCCTCACATTGTTCTAAGATCCATTGTGAAAAACTAGGTTCATATTAGTTCATTAAGATTGTGTATAAAAATGTTTTAAAAAATAATAGGAATTGTTGAGTTAAAACCGAAATAAACAGATTTCCCTCCTCTAGAAATATTTCCAACCGTTGGTGTGCTGATAATACCTTGTCGGCCTCTGGGCAAACAGTATGTGTTGGGTTCCTCAGACTTATTTGATCAGGAAACCTTTCTCCCCAAACGGCACCGTGGGGCTGTTTGTTCTTCAGAAAACACCCATGGGCCATCGAACCTCTTGTACCATTTGGGTTTAGCTATTGTCCAGTATCTTGTAGGACTAAACCAAGATCCATGTTCCCATTCCCTCGTGAGGAGACCTTGAGACTGTTTTTGATTCTTTGGTGTAACTAGAATAAATTCCGGTGGTTTGGTGACTGCTGCGATTATTACCTTAAGAGGCAAGATCATATCAAAGAGTCTGGGCGTTTGTCAGACTTGAAACACAGCGCCCAGTTGCCTTCCAAGAAGACCTTACCCCGCCCCCACAGCTTGAAAATTGAAGGTCCACATGCTGAATGTTGTATCCTCTGGGTGGTGCTGTTGGAAGGTGGGAGACCTGTGAGCTGGGGCCTTGTGAGAGGTCTTTATGTCACTGGGGTCCTGAAGGGAGTTTGTGGGATCCAGGTGACTTCCTCTCCCTCTGTTGTTCTGTGGCCCCTCCTGGAGTGAGTGGCCTTGCTCCTTCTGTCGTCTGCCTCCTTACTACAGGCTGAAGTGAAAGGCCATTAGGATCGGAACCCCCAAACTCTGAGGCCAAAGGAGCCTCTCCACAAAGTTCAAAGTACGTGAAGGTCAACCCTTTCCCTCTTATGATGTTGACAACCACAAAAAAAAACAAAAACAAAAACAAAAAAACAGTCAGAGCTGTCGAGATAGCTCAATAGTTAAAAATGGATGTTGCTTTTCCAGAGCCACTGAATTTGGTTCCCAGCACCCATGTTGGACAGCTCACCATTGCCTCTGTAACTCCAGCTCCAGGGGGATCCAACTGGCATATACTTGTGTGTGCAAGCGCACATGCACACATGCGCACATGCATGTACACACACACACACACACACACACAAGTAATAAAAATATAATCTTAAAAAAGTCACATGCCGGGCTGGAGAGTTGGCTTAGTGGTTAAGAGCACTGACTGCTCTTCAAGAGTCCCTGAGTTCAATTCCCAGCAACCACATGGTGGCTCACAGCCATCTATAATGTAGACCTTGCGGGTACACATGGAAGGAATAATGTACATATAATAAATAAATCTTAAAAAAAAAGTCACATGCCCAAAGAACACAGATAACCATCAAGAGGCAAATTGGCTTTCCAGAATTGTCTGTGCTGCTCCTAAGTGATTAAATGCTACCTGGGAGTTACCCAAACACTGAAATCTGAAGCCTGTATTTTGTTGGGTAGCCGGCGAAGGGTTGAAATTGGCATCAGTTGTGTTGACTTTAAAATAGACTTCCAAGACGAGGTTTTAATAAGAAAGCTTTTACCAGCCTCCTGCAACCGTGACCTTTCTTTCTGGAAGAGTCTTTTGCGTCATCCCATCGATATTAATTCTGACCTCTTAGAAAGGAAATTATACCACAGCAACCGGTGGCTGACCGTAGGTGTTCACTTGTGCTCGACTTGTGTGGGATAAAAGATAAATATTGTAGGCCAGAAATGAGTTATCTCTTTGCCCTTCACAATTATTACTGTTTGGTCAATGCATTATTGAGTTTCAGGGTGAGACACTAGCTTTGAATTTATTTAAACCCCTAGGTCTCCAGCAATAAAGTCCTTTAAGTGGCTTCGCCAAAAGATTTATTTCAGAGTGGTTCCTTTGTGGGGAAGGAATAACGCATTGCGTACTGAGGGCTTTCAATAATTCATAGACCTGCACGCCATTGGCTGTTCAAGAGGCAGCTTTTGGCGGCAGAGCCCGAAGGGAAATCTGTGTCATGTGTCTGCCTTCTGGGAAGTGAGGCTTGCACTAACTCTAGCAGAGACTTGTTTTAAAAACAAGAGGGGAGGGGGACAGTAAGCACAATGGGCAGAGAGGCCACATTTTATGCAACCTCTACCTTTAGCAAAGCCGGGTGTTTATAGATAGTGCTTTTTCCTCCCATGAACAGAAATTTTGACTGGTTTTGATCCACCAGGAGTGCATTGCCAAGGGTGGGCTGAACGTGAATCCTCGGAGCTTAGCATTTACGACAGACAAGGTGGGGAGGTCTGTGGATGTGGAAAAGATGGTGGCATCTTGTGTTTTGAGTCCTGAAGTGGTGTTTGTAGGCAGAGGAGCGTGGCAGGGTCTCTGCCTCCGTTCAGCCGAAAGCTTGGCTCTCCCTGAACACCGTACTTTGGTCCCCTTCTTAAAAGCCACCAGACTCCAGGGTGGCCTTCCTTCAGAGTTAGACCTGTGTGTAACACTGGAAGGAACATCCTGTCCCCTCTCCTGATCCAAGCATGCTAGTGAGAAGTACCTTGTGGTACACAGAAGGAATGAGGGCAGTTTTGTTGTCTTCCAGGAGAACTACAGGATTCATCTTCCCATTCCTACCCCTCTCTCCTTCATGCCCCAGTAAAAATAGCTGGTTTTTGATTAATTTTTTGAAATACTTTATTTTGTGTGTGGCTAGGCTTTGGGGAGGACATGTGGCCATGCCACACTATACACATAGAAGTCAGGGGGCAACTTGTGAGGTTCAGGTCTCTGTAACTATGTACGTCCCTGGGATTAAACTCAGGTCTTCAGCCTTGACTATGCTCTCCCTCTGGCCCTGATTTATTTGAACCTAAAGATAGTTTACTTAAAGTTATTGTGAGATTCATATTAGAGAGCCTTTAAATGTACATATTACTAGAAATTCTGCAGCTAACATCTTGAGGATGATCGTGTGATACTGGCATTTGGACATTCCCTGCTGTTCACATTTTCACATTGAATTATATCATCTTTGCTGCCGTCAGACATTTCCAACTTAATACTTGTCAAAAGAGCTTTTTTCCTTTAAACAAAAATTCTCCTCTTCATTTCAGCAGTTGCGGAACATTCCATTGTAAACACATGTCTTAGTCAGCCTCAGCTGTTAGAACAACATGCTCCTTAGTAGACGGTGTAAAATAGACCTTTCGTTGTACTGGCTCTGGACGTAGATCCATTGGCATCCTTACTGTCTTGTGAAGGCACAGACAATCTCCTTCGTCTGTACCCTTGCACGCTGTGTGTGGAGGGCTCCAAGCCCATCACGGAATCCACTTCATGACCTCATCTGACCCCAGTGACTTCCCACCTGACCTCCTACGACCTTCCCTCCTAAAGGCCATCATGTTGACAAGAGGTCAACATTTGAGTTGTGCAGGGCACACAGTACTTTATCTAGGATATTGCACAGTGCAGCAACGAACCTTCACTTTCTCCTTTGATTTTCCCCTCCATCATGACATAGGGAAATGGCTTTTCTGTGCATGGTGTTCACTCTAGAATATATTTCCTATAAGTAGACTTCTGGGCTGAAGGGCGCGCATCTCAGCTTCTGGTATATCGTTGGGACACTGTGGGACTAAATACCATCCCCATGTAGTAGATGAGAGTGTCTCCCTCCCCAGGCCCACTCCAACACACAATCTAAGGCCTTTTAATGCTTATTAAATTAATAAATACCTAATCATTTTTAGTTCATTCTTTTTGTTAATTGAATGAGTTTAAATATTTATTGGTAACTTGGAGTGGTTACTTGTATAATCATCTTTTTCATTTCCCTCTTGAACTTTCTTTCACTTACTGGCCCTTTCCAAGACTTTTTTTTTTAATTAAAAAATACAAATTGAGACTAGGTCCTCCTTAAAATATGCATGCAATGTATACATTTGGAGAATATTACCCGTCTTATTTAAGGATGAAAGACTCCAGTAGGCAGTGATACTTAGGTTTCTGGTTTGGAGGATGACACCCATCTAATATGTCACCATTAGCTGACCTTGGTAGGCAATAAAGCTTTACCTGCTAGAACTGGCAGTCAGCCGAGGCTCAGGGCACATGGCCTGCTCCTCCTCCGTGGCTCTGCAAGGGCCTAGTGCTCTTTCCTTTCATTTTCTCTCCCCTTGAAGTTAACTCTTCCTTGCCACTTTATGAGATTGTCCTAGGTCAGCAGAGAAAAGAAAATTCAGAGGATTCAACATTGAAAATAAATTCTGTGCCTGGCTTTTGGTCAAGAGGCCATTTCATGGTCTATAAACCACAAGTGTATGTATAGTTGGGAAGCAGAGTTTATTATTTAATATACGTTGTAGAGAAGTCTGGAGGGAGGGGTGGTTTAGAGCTCCTGCAGAGACGATGCAGCTTAAAATTTGACATGTGGTGTAGGATTGTTTAAAGTCTGTTTGTTCACTGTGGCCTAATCTGCTCACCGCTTTCGGACAGTTTCACTCGCTGGCTCCCATGTACTATCGAGGATCGGCCGCAGCCGTCATAGTGTATGACATCACCAAACAGGTAAGAATGTCTTTCAGCTCCAGATGCCACTTGTGGGAACTGTCCCAGAGACACCAAAGCAGCCTGGCACATTGTGAGTCTTGCCAGCAGCTGACAGTGTGGGAGACAGGGACAGAGAAAGCTGTGTGTCTGCCGTGCTTCCCCCACAAAGCAGCTCTGAATTATTTTCTCAATTATGAAAACAATACACGTTCATTTTAAAACTGACACCACCACCCCCTTTATTTTACTTTTTGTGTATGAATATTTTGCCTGCATAAATATCTGTGCACTACGTATGTGCCTGGTTCCCACAGAGGTCAGAAGAGGGCACTGGATCCTTCGGAACTGGAGTTACAGATGGTTGTGAGTTGCCATGTGGGTGCTGGGAACCCAACCCCAGTCCTCTGGAAGAGCGACAAGTGTTTTTTTTTTTAACTGCTGAGTCATCCCTCCACTCCCTAAAACTGAGCTTCTATAAAGGCAAGGCCATGTCTATTAGCACTTTCCTTGAAAACATTTTAAGTTCTGACTGTTTTACCATTATAGGTTATTTCCTGTTACTGGTTCAGTTGCACTGTTCAAATATCAGAGATAATATTTATGTATACAAAAGTGTTTGTAGTTCCCCACTTATCTGTGGTTTGATTTTCTGTAGTCCTGGTTATCCAAGGCCAACTCCCACCTAAAACTATTAAATGGAAAATTCCAGAAACAAGTCACTTGTTTTAAATAATACGTTACTATGATTATTCTAGTTTGTTACTGTTAATACCTCACTGTGCTTAATTGTTTTCTTAAACTGCACCATGGGTGCTCATGGGACAGCGACACATTGTTTCCAGGGTTGGTTCCAAGCCACAATTTCAGACATCCACTGAGGACCATAGAGTGTATCTCCTGCAAAAGACTTTAGCAGGAGTGTATTTTGAGTGCTTTGATTTAGTGGCATTTCTTTTGCCCCCGCCCCCGCCCCCCCGGCCTGGTCCCTCTGGAATGCTGGCCACTCTCTGATTCATGGCTGTTATATTCCATGAATTCCCACCACTTCCACCCAAATGTGCTGTAACTTTGGCCTCTGCCCTGGAGCCGGACCTAAACAGATGCATTTCTCTCTTGAAGCAAGCATCAGTATCCACTTGATTCCGATATCTTGGTTCCCACAGTGTCAAGGCTTTTATTTCTGATCAATGCTACTTGCTGCAAAAACTTAATAGTGTGACTTTTAACTTCTTCAAGTTTTAACTTTGAAAGAGGCATCTGTTATAGGCCGAGAAGTTAGCGAATGTTAACTAAGTGCCCCTTACAAACATTTTTTCCCACTGAATTACATAGGGTTCTTACATCTGCTTGTTTGAAATGCATTGACAGATCTATTCAGTGACTCATCTTGTTTTTAGGATTCATTTCATACCTTGAAAAAATGGGTTAAGGAGCTGAAAGAGCATGGCCCAGAAAACATTGTAATGGCGATTGCTGGGAACAAATGTGACCTCTCAGATATCAGGTAAGACGTATTTCAAGTGTGTGTGTGTGTGTGTGTGTGTGTGTGTGTGTGTGTGCACGCGCACATGTGTGCATACATTTCATATCTCCCATCCCCAAACGCCTCTGACTGAAATGGAATTATGTCTTTGCTTATGTTTCTGCTCTCTGTGTAATGATTTAACTGATAGCCCCTCACCTGTGGTAGTCAGCGTGATATGATTCAAACAGAGTAGAATTATAGGAAAATGACAGCAACTTGATGGCCCCTATAATAGTGAATGTTAACTGTGTAGCTGTGCGGAGCATAGCTGTATCAGTGCCTCTATTTATTGTTGGACTAGGTTGTTTTGTTACCTTTTTCTTTGTTATCATTGCAACTAATACAGTTTTAGTAACACTTTCATATACAAATGGCAATGAGAAGTCTTAGTGTTTTCATGTTTGTCTTCAATTTTAACCTAAGGATGTAGTCCAGTCTGTATAATGCTACTATTTTGATTTAATATCTTAATATGATACATTTTAGGGCAGCACCCCAAATGGCAATGGCTTACCGAACTTCTTGACCTTATGTCTTAGTCCTTTTTCTAATTGTTATATCAAAATACCCAAGACTGGGTTTTTATAAAGAAAAGAAGTTCATTATGCTTTGCCTAGAGTTTCAGTAATGGAACGCTGATGGCTATATTATATATAACATGGTAGAGAATTAGAAAGGGAGTGGAGGCCATATGCAGAATTGATCACATGGTGGGCAAGGGCACAATGAGATCCAAGGACTAATTTCTCTCTTTTACAACAACCCATTCCAAGGAGAGAAAACTACACTGATCCCTTCTGAGCGTTGTCCCCACCATGACCTAACCACCATCCATTCTTCCAGCATGCTTCTAGCTCATGAGCCTTGAGGAACACACCAAACTGCATATCAAACTGTAACGAGTAGAGAGTGCATTAGAGACATGATGACGAGCCTGTCAATCCAGGCTGTTAAGATGGCCGTTTATGAAATAAATGCTACTTCAGAAGGTTACAGGTTAGTCATCCTCTCTCATGACAGGGCCATTTCAAGACTACAGTGGATATCCGAAACTATAATCTACACCATACCCCATGTATGTTTTGACTTCTTTATATATAAAAGTCTATGATTAAATTTATTTTATATATCAAGCATAGCACTAAATGATTTAGAACAGCAACTAATAAAGTAGAATCGTTTGTAATAATAAATATAGTAAAAGCTACATAAAATGTAATGAATTATTTATTTCTGGAAATTTCCATTTGATATATTCTGACTCAGTTGATTGTGGGTAACTGAAACCCTGGGAAGCAAAAACACTGATGGGGGATATACTGTTGCAAACTTGTTTTGCCTCTATTCCCTTGGCTCTGAGTTCTCAAGAATTCCAATCGTGGGTTTTCATAAAGACTACATCATGCTTCTAGTTTTGACATCTAAATATGATTAAACCAAAATGAAATAAGCATTGAAAATGGATCTTGCAAAAGTTCTTAACGTGGCATTTGGTAAATTGCTGTGTCTTTGTGTTTGCAGACACATTGTATCGCATTGCATCAGGTAGGTTTATAGTACCCGTGAACGCCACTTAATCGCTTATTTTTCTGGGGGTTGGACAAGTCTTTAAACTCTCCAGACTTAGTTCAAATATCCTTCCTCTTTCTTGTAATCCTGAAGCAGCTGTTTTGGCTGGTGTTTCCTGCTTTGGGTGGTCAGTGGACAGAGCCAGCTTTGGTGAAAGAGGCGGGTTCATCTGACACCTGACTGTGGTCACTGATAGAGAAAACTCCCCCTCTTTCTCGTTTGGGGGATACAAATGTGCGTGCATGTGTGCGTGTGTGCCCATGCACAGTGTTGGACTGTAATTTAAGAAGACAGTGATTTTTAATTGAATGGGAGAGTTGTTTGCTATGTGGAGCTAAGACCTAGCATGTTAATTTTAGGGAAAAGGGAGGTGAGAAGATGTTGGTAATTTCCACGTGATCCAAACAGGCCTTCCCCTAGCTCTGGGGTTCGGTAGGTTCCAGCCAAGCTGTGGAGAAACACTGATCTGGCACTCTCTGTATTTCAGTTCCCCACATCTGACAAGGACCTTGTGGCCCATTGAAGGGATGTGGCCAATACAAGACGGGGAGGGTGGGGGCTCTTGATGAGGGACAGCTTCAGGCTAGCACAGACTGTCTCTCATTCCCAGGGTGGACTCACTGGTGTTCTCTGCAGACTCCTGCTGTGTGCACCACAGGGTACACGTCCAGCTAAGATGACCTGGCTAACAACCCACCCCTCTCACCCCTGACTGTAAAATCACTCAAAACCACTCTAGCCCCAAAGGATGACGACCCAACATCACCCAGCTACCATCTCCAGTGACACCATCAGGGCCTCCAAGGCTGGCAAAGCGCCAGCTTTTCTGCTCAACTTCCTTTGCGTTTAGTTTGGCCTCAGTGAGACCGGAATCAAGCTCGTTAAGAACCCGCAGGTGTTCAAAGCCTGGCATTATGTCTTTTTTTCTGTATACACAGTCATTTGAGAGGGCACTTGTTTTGATTATGCAACAAAGGAAATGACCTATTTTTGTAGTTCTTGTTCAAACTTCTGGATAGGTCAGTGAGAAAGATTATTTTATTTTACAAAATGAATAAATTAATCTATCTATCTATCTATCATCTATTTATGTGTATGACTACCATGGCATGCTTGTAGGGGTCAGAGACAACTGATGGGGGTTGGTTCTTCTAGCACGTGGGTCCTGTGGATCGAGCTCAGGCTGTCAGGCTTGGCAGCGAGCACCTTCACTCACTGAGCCACCAGTGTTGGATGAGTGTCTTGAGGTTTGTTTTACGGCTTAGCTGTGCTAAATCCTAGATAATGTTCTGTGGAAGCCTCAGGCCAGTAAGAGGCTCCCTCTTACCCCCACCCCCGTTTGTGTCTGTGGTGTCTAAGTGCCTGTGGAGGTCAGAAGCTGAGGTCAGATTTCTTCTTTGGCCTTCTACCCTGAAGCAGGGTGTGTGCTGAACCCAGCACACCAGTTTAGCTAGTATGGCTATATAGCTTGCCCCGGAGATGACTCTCCACAGATGGGCTGCCATGGCATGACATTTGTATGTATGCTGGGCATTCATATTTAATTCTTTACACATGCATGACCCGCGCTTCCCCACCCAGGCATCTCCAGTCCTCCTATCACATTTTTTTTAAACGCCCTTTATTTCCGTTTTATTTTATTTTATTTCTTCAGTGGAAGCAGAGATTGAATTTAGAGCATGAACAAGTTGGGCTGGTGCCCACCATGGAATGGCTAAATAAGCCATGGGCCTCACTGAGTTGACCACACTGGCCTGGCACTGTTGCTCCCCTGGCTTGTCTTCCTTTAGCTGAGATTGTGGGTCTGTGTCACCAGATTTGGCTTGCACACCTGTTTTTATATTTGCCTTTTCCCTTTGAAGAAAGAAAGAGGGAGGAAGGGGGGGGAGAGAGAGAGAGAGAGAACACCAGCCTTCTGAAAATAACACCGCTTTAGCCAGAATTAAATTTTTTAAAGTTGTCCTAATTTTTCAGGATTGCATCCTTTTGTGATAGTTGACATTAGTGTTCCATTTATGGTGATGATATAAAATTTCTAGAAAATTTTTAATGTCGGCTTATGTTTACGACTTTATCTACAGGGAAATATTTAAAGAGCACGTCGGGAAGACCTTAAGTCTAATAAACAGACTTAGCAAGGTTGTTGACTACAAGACACAGATAACTGTTACGTTTCTGCTTATTAATAGTGAGTATGTAGAAACTGAAATTAAAAACACAGTATCTTTTATTCTTGCAATATATTAGCAAGAACATGAAATATTAGTAACATACAGGATCTGTGTGCTGAAAATTATAAAATGCTCATGAAAAACCAAGTAAGACTTGAAAAATGGCCGAAACATAGCTGTGTTTATCTCATTGGTGTATTAAAGGTTTCTGTTTTCTCCAAAATGATGTCTAAGTTTAAATGAAATTCCTGGGAATATCTCACCAAGGATTTTTGATAAGCGTAAACACACACATTCTGGGGCTAGGGCGATGGTGGTGAGGGTAAGAGCGCTTCTTTTACAAGCATGAGGACCTGAACCTGGGTCCCCAGCCCCCTCTAAGAAGCAGCCAGTGGTCCCTTGCCCCTGAACCTGCAGGGCCCCAGTGACGAATAATCTTGTCGACCTTGTTGGGTGGAGGAGTGTTCAGGCAGCTGTAAGGCACACTTCTGAATGTGTTTGTGTTTCCAAGGAACTGAAGATGGGGAAAAGAATATGACGTTGGGGAACAAAATTGTGAAGAGACGTTCAAGATCATTATTGATCTGTCAAAATGGCTAACTGGAAAGCAGAGCCAATGCCTGGTGGTGTTGGCGGGGTGGGGGTGGGTGACAAGATGGCTGAATAAGTAAAGACACCGGCTGTGCAAACCTGACTCCCTAGGTTGGGTCCCAGGAACCCATGGCAGAAGGAGATAAAGTTGTCCTCTGACCTCCACAGACACTCCGTGCCATTCGTGTACCTGTGCTCGGGCACTGTCATACGCACACAAATAATACTACTAATAAAATGTTAGTGGGAATATAGCCAGGCAGGTGGTTGATGCTGACCTGGTGCGGACAGAAAGTACTGCTAGTGAGCAGAGCCCATCTGTGAAGCAGTTCAACAATCTCGTGCAAAACCAGATCTATGATTTCCATCTAGCCAAGCAACCTCACTCTTGGGCATCTATCATAAGAGAGTTGATGCTTAGGTTCATAAGAAACCTACTCACAAATATTCATAGATGTTTATGGTACCTTATCCAAACCATAATGAGCCTAGATGTCTTTGAGCAAGTGACTGGCTAAACAGATTGTAATGAACTCACTCCAAGGACTGCTGCACACACATACACACACACACACACACACCAGACTACAAGTTGGATGAATCTTTGGGAGCCTTGCGCTGCGTGAATAAGGCTATGTGAGTGAGCTT